GTTACTTATACACTGAGTCCCAAACATGTGCCACTAGCTGCGATGAGGCGCTTCCGCTGTACCTGTACCTCCTGCAGTTACCTGCAGCCTCTTGTCCACTGCTGAGGGCCTGACTTTCCTCCCGACACCTGGTCCTGAGCTGCCCCACCTCCACCCACTGCAGCCCCCAGCCACCCAGTTCCGCCAGCCAGAAACCCAAGGGTCATTACTGGGGTCCTCCCTTTGCTCCGTCGTCATGGGCATCAGGTCCCCAGCCGGCCCCTCTGCCCCCACCAAATCCCTCCCATCTGCTCCCCCACCTCATCTCCGCCACACCAGCTCACACCTCCAACATCTCCGCCCAGGCCACACGCCCCGTCTCCCTGCCTGCTTCCGCTTTGTCCCCCCTCACAAGTGCATGGAGTCCCCTGCAGTTACAAGGCCCGAAGTCCCCGCAGAGGGTGGCGTGCAGGCCTCGCCAGCATCCCACATTCCAGCCCCAGGCTCCTCCGCCCACTGGGTGACCTCCCTTCGGCTCTGTGTGCAGGGCCAAGGGACAGGCGGCTGTAGGCGTGTTTGATAAGTGCTGAGCAGTCTTGGCAATGTTGCCGTTAGGCCGTTTATTCCATGAGTGAGTCTTTGTGGATACAGGGCCCCCCTCCTCTCTGCCAGGCACCCCTGGAGACACTGGGGATACAGCAGAGAACTGAACGGGGCTGCTGTGGCTTTTGTGGGAGGAAGGGGGGAGGAGTGGGGGACAGTAGAATGAAGTGTGTGAAGGACAGGAAGCCAGGATGGGGGTGAGAACCACCCTAAAGAGGGGACACTTGATCAGAGACTGGAACCCTGTGAGGGCATGATGTATAAACAAGGGTGCCTCTTATTTATCTCTCTCTTATCTATCCTCAGAAGATTCTAGAACATCTTGGGAGACTCAGCAGTAACTTGGAATTCTGAACCGAGGATATTCCTCTTAAGGAAATATAAAAAAAAAAATTAAGAAATCAATCGTTAATACCAAAGCAAAGTGCTTTTCTCCCCCAGGGAAATTGTGTTAGTCACACGCTCGCTTTTTCATTAGAAAAAAATAATGGGTTTTTGAAGAAGCAGAGAGAAGGCGGGGGGAGGCTGGAGGGGGCTGGAGCCACCAGCTGCTGCACTTGCCAGGGGGGCCACCAGCAGGGGCTGGCGCTGGGCACTCCGTGAACCCCGCTCCGGGTTTGGGGGACAAGAGGCGAAGCCAGTGCCCCTCCCCCTAGGGGTCTCAGATGCTGGACAAGGAGACCGGGGCCAGTCTGTGACGGTGGCATTTAAAAGCTGCCCGCGGCAGAATAGACATTAATAAAGCGAGAGGCACATCACTGTTTTCCAAGCTCTTCACCCACTTCAGCGTGTTAAATGCTGTCGGACAGGTGGCGCTTCCCCCTTTTGAGGATGTGGGACCTGAGTCCAGCTGCTCAGGGAGCCAGACAAGCATTTCTCATTTCCACACGGTTTCCTGGGAGGTGCCCACTTGCAGGTTTCTTAATGAAAGGGGGCCTGAGAGGAAGGACTAATGAGGCAGGTAGAGAGGGCGTGGCCTAGAGCAGGAGCAGAGGGAGGCACCTAGAAGGGGGCAGTGGGAGGGGCCTAGAGCAGGAGCTGGGTAAGGGGAGGGAAAGGCAGGGCTCAGACAGTGGAGCCCAGAAATGGACGGCCATTCCACCGTCCTATCTCTATAGGTTCTGGAACCATTCCCAGTCTTGTCTTGAATTCGTGGCCTTAACATTCTTGAAGGGTACAGATTCGTTCTTTTGTAGAATGCCCCTCCATTTGGACTGTCTGAGGTGCCCTCCTGGTCAGGTTGAGACCTTGCATTTTTGGCATTTTTCTCCAAGGCATTTTATTGGGAGGCTCATGGTAAACATTGATCCCGTTCCTGGGGATGCTTACGTTGTTTTAGGCAGTGCTCAGCAGCAGGCTCCACTGCCAAGCTGCTGATGTCCCCTTTGGGATCACTGAGTGTCTATGGGAGAGACTCTGAGATCAGGTGAGTGTACTCTTACCCTTCAGGCTTTCCCCCATTCCTTTCAGCGTTCATGAAAGATTCTCCACAGTTGCCAAATAGTGGTTTTCTCATCATTCCTTCTGCATTCCGTGGCTGACTTCCCCTGGGGAGAAAGAGTTCAGCCTGTGTTTCGATGTATAGATTTCTATCAGTGTGGATTCATGGGTCCTGACTTCAGCCGAAGGGTTGTGGTTCTTTACCGTGATCATTTATTTTCATGCTCAAGGGATCCCCGATAAGGCCAGTGGGAGCCTCTTCAAAGTGGCCCTGTGTCTTTTTGATAAGTCCCCACGTCAAGAGAAAACAAAACCCAAAACCACGTTCTTACTCTCTGGCCCAACAAGACGTTCTGAGCTCTTCTCGCCCCTCCCCTGCCTCTGTCCTGGGTCCAGTCATTTCTGCCTGGCTCCTGTTTGTGGAGAATGCCCTTCAGGCACCGGTATCGCTGTTGCTGGAGTGTCGTTGCTGCCGGCCCCGTCCGTGGGTAGGGCCAGGGGATCTATGCGTGCACACGAATGCGGACTTACGTGTCTGTGCAAGGCACACACGTGACACCCACGATCCCAGGGTCCCCGTATGCACTCCTGGGCGATTGTGTGTCGGTCCCAGTCTATCCATAGTGATGGCCCAGGTGTGGGTCACTCATCTCAACCCCCCACAGACACTCCCCCCCCACCCCTGGGGGACAAACGCTGTGGCTGCAGCAGCCCTGGGGTCCCTATCATGTTTACGAGATTTGCTTTGGCAAACCCATCAGGGGACTTTGAGGGACACGAATTATTACCCGCAGGTCCCAGAGTGTGCACGGCACCCCTGAGGGTCACATGGTTGAAGGGCAGGCCGACAGAGAAGGAGACTGTGGACTCGGAGCTCTGCGTTTATAGGGCCCAGGGTAGGGTGTCTCTGGTTTCAAGGGTTCACTCCTTACAGGCTAATTGGAAGCCGAAGAGCGGGAATGAGGGCAGGAGAAGAGAGAAGTGAGACCCTAGGTCCCCCAGGGCTTTCTGAAAGAGGAACTTTTATGGGTGGCGCAGCCTCGTTTTCCATCTGGTTGCGTTGCTAGTGGCTGCGTCATCTTGCAGTTGACAGTGCATTCGTCCAAGACGGTTGTCTTCTGACACGTGTTTTGGTGATCAGAACCACAATGTGGGACACTTTTACTATGCCCACCTCTTCCCTTGCGTGTGGGCTGGACTGTGCTACTCCTTCTAATGAACAGAATAGGGCAGAAGGGATGAGAAGTCACTTCAGAATTTCGGTTATAACGAGACCGTGGCTTCTATAGTGCATGCGTCCTGTGGTTGTCACTGTGATGGAGGTCACCTGCCAGGCTATGAAAGGCCCACGTGGCAAGGTACTGAGGGGGGCGTTGGGCCTGTGACCCTTAAGAAGATCTGGATCTCGCCAACGACCACGTGGGAGCTCAGAAACAGATCACCTCCTGTCTCATTCCTCTGAAGGAGACCACAGCCCCACCCGTAGCCGGATTGAATCCTTGCGCTTAAGAGACCCATGGCGCGATGCACCCCACTAAGCCACACCCCTTGCCTGGCCGACAGAAACTGGGAGACCCTATATGTTGGTTGTTTCAAGCCATTAAGTTTTGGGGACACATTGTTATGTTCAGCAATCAATAACTAACACAATATGTTATATACACCACATGTACGTGTATATGGGTGTGGAGAGAAGGACCACATGCACCTGTATCTGTTTTTATATCTATCCTGTATCTTTACATAGTACAAGCCCTGTGTTCCTACAGATAATTTCTTTAGGATTCATTCTAATGAAATCTAACCCCACTCCCTTACTTTCACCATGAAAAAAAAAAGTTACTTACTTTTTTAGACAGAGGGGAAAGGAGGGAGAAAGAGAGGGAGAAAAACATCAATTTGAGAAAGATCAATCAGTTGCCCCCCATAGGGGCCCCAACCTGGTGCCGAATCCACAACCTGGGCACGTGCCCTGACCAGGAATTGAACCAGCGACCCTTGGCTTTGCCGGTTGAGGCCCAACCCACTGAGCCACACCAGTCAGGATGGCTTCCACTGTTTGTAACCTCCTGTCTTCAACAGTGAGAAAACCTCAGCTCCCATCATCCACAGTCTATTGATTTATGTGTTCAGTCTTGGACTACGAGACTGCGATCCTATGTCTCTGAAAAAGTAGCCTTTTCAAGGAAGTTCAATGTTGATTCAGAGTTCTTGTCTTTGGTCAAAGGCATATAGTCCAAATACTTTGAACTTTGTTTTCCCCTCCCTCCCGCCAAAAATAAAAAAGGATGCCCTCCCAGCTTTTCTGGGAAGTGAGGAGTGAAATGCAAAACGGTACACACATTTTCTTCCCAGACAGAAAATGCCCTGATTGCTAGAACATTCCATAAAGAAGGGCTGGGCAGGGGCTTAAGAGGCTCATGGTTCTGCGTTTTCCCCTCTGGGCTGAGGCTGCTCTTTCTCTCTCAGGAAATTATTTGGAGAGAAAAGGGTATGGTGTCGCTTTACGAAGGCCCCGGGGAAGGTTTCAAATTATAATCATTCCTGTTATGCAAAAGGGAGCCACGTGACTGGCTGACTCTGAGGTCTCCCCAGAAAGGCCGGGTCTGGGTGGGGCTTGTGGGGTCTTCCGGAAGGATGGGAACCCGGCTTGGACCGGCTATGCACGCTGGGACTGGGGCCAGGACTGTCTGAGTGGAAAAGAGGTGGCTTCTGTCCTTGCCATGACCTCATTGGGGAGGGTCTCTGTGACACTAAGTCTCCACTCCCACCGTCCTTGGAGGAGGCACCCGTGGAGACAAGGCAGACCCAGACCCGCACTGCTGCCCGGGTGGGTGGGGACAGCAGGCAGGCGCCTACTCAGATGCCGTTGGGTGAACTTCCTGTAAATCACATATTCATTTGACACAAGTAAAAGGATGAACTCTGAGGACGGCTCGGGAAGACGTGGGCCTAATTTCCACTTCTTTCTCTTCCAGGGACAGAAAGCTTGGATAGAAAAAACCTTTTGCAAGCGAGAGTGTATCTTTGTCATTCCCAGCACGAAAGACCCAAACAGGTAAACTGGGAGCCATAATTGAGATGTCATCCAAACCCACACTTGTCCACCAGTTACCAGCAGCTATTTTTTTTATTTATTTATTTTTTAGAGAGGGAAGGGAGGGAGAAAGAAAGAGAGAGAGAAACATCAATGTGTGGTTTCTGGGGGCTGTGGCCTGCAACCCAAGCATATGCCCTGACTGGGAATCGAACCTATGATGCTTTGGTTCGCAGCCCGCGCTCAATCCACTGAGCTATGCCAGCCAGGGTTGCAACTATTCTTTTTTTATATATGTATTTTTAATCCTCACTCGAAGGTATATTCCTTGATTTTAGAGAAAGAGAAAGGGAGAGAGAAACTTTCATCAGTTGCCTCCCATACATGCCCCAACTGGGGATCAAACCTGCAACCTAGAGATGTGCGCTGCCTGGGAATCGAACCCACAACCTTTTTGTGTACAAGATGATGCTCCAACCCACTGAGCCACCTGGCCAGAGCACCAGCAACTGTTCTTCTAGTGTCTCGGGTAGGGGAGCCAAGAAGGATAGCCAGGATCCATCCTCATGGGAGTCATTAGCCAGGGAGTTACTTGGGCCTTAACAGAGTAAGTTCCACTGTTAAGATACAAATAGGCCACTATCCGCCATATCTGCCTCTCACCCAGATGTGAACTCTCACACCCAGGTGGGCCCTCAGTCTCTTAGTGAGCTCTTGACATATTTCCAGGGCAATGTCATTAGAGTTCCATAATGTTATTCCGATGATGCATTACAGAATTGTACCTGAAACCTATGCCTTTGTAAACACATTGGTCACTTTACTCTTCTTTGCTTTTCAGGTGTTGCTGTGGCCAGCTCACCAACCTGCATATCCCCCCTCTGCCCAGTGTGACATCCGGCAAAAATGGGGAGGAGAACAAAGAGGTGGAGAGTCAGCCCGAGAAATGGTCAGTGGGCAAACACACGCAGAGCTACCCGACAGATTCCTATGGGACGCTTGAGTTCCAGGGTGGCGGATACTTCAATAAAGCCATGGTAAGAGAGGGCTGAGCCCCGGGCCTCCCAGAATCCCAGGGGACAGGTGCCTGGGTCTTCTTTCAGGGGTGCAGCTGTCTTCCTAGATAGTTCATGGCAAAGGCACGTAATAGAGCTGCACACTCAGCATTTAATCTGTTTTTTAAAATTTTATTTTATTCATTATTCAAGTAGAGTTTTCTGTCCTTTACTCCCATTACTCCAGCCCACCCACCTATCCCTCCCCACCTCCCTCCCATGTCCACCCCCCCTAGTTTTTGTCCATGTGTCTTTATATTTGTTCTTGTGAACCCTTCCTATTGTCCCCTGAAATTCCCTCTTCTCTCCCCTCTGGTCTCTGTCAGCCTGTCCTCTATTTCAGTGTCTTTGACTATATGTTGCTTGTTTCTTTGTTTTGTTGTTTAGGTTCCTGTTAAAGGTGAGATCATATGGTATTTGTCTTTCACTGCCTGGCTTATTTTGCTTAGCATAATGCTTTCCAGCTCTATCCATGCTGTTGCAAAGGGTAGGAGCTCCTTCTTTTTTTCTATTAATTTTTTTTCATTGATTGATTTTAGAGAGAGAGGGAGAGGAAGAAACATCAATTTGTCGTTCCACCCGTCCATGCATTCGTTGGTTGATTCTTGTATGTGCCCTGACCAGGGACTGAACCTGCAACCTTGGTGTGTCAGGCAGATGCTCCAACCCGCTGAGCTCCTCGGCCAGGACTCGCTCGGCGTTTTAGCCATGAGAGTCATAAACGGCCCACTGTTACAAAGAATGTGCAATGTCCGTAAATCCATACCAAGTTTGTGAGTCTGAGGGTCACACTTGAGCCCAGTTCTGCAGGCTTACTCATCATTCCATCTCTGGTGAAGAGAGAGAAATTGCGTTCTTTGCTTTTTGGTGTCGTCTGCATTTTGTTTTGTTTCTTTTGTCTGTGTGGACCTCCAACCCGCCCACAGTGGGTTAGGAGCTGGAAACATTCCCCCCAAAGTCCGTCCACAGCCTCCCTGGCCTGCACTTGGCTGGCCAAGGAGAATGCGGACTTTCGCATTGGCACGTGAACAGGGAGGCCCCGCCTCTCTGATGAGCCCCACCGGAGAGGGGAGGTGCCCACACTGCGATCCCTGTGGGCACACCCTGAATAATGCACCCACGTGCCCAACTACATATTGGCATGGAATAAAGAAGCAGTGCATAGGGACGAAGGCCTTAACCTCCTCTTCACCTTGAGGGGAAGGTCAAGTCCATTGGCTAACGCCAATGATCCCCACCCCCATCTCCCACTCAATGTGGCCCGAAGGCCACTCCCTCAACAACATCCTGTTCAACCTCTAGGACCCTGATTGTAGGTGAGCCAGCTTTGGAGTTGAATCCTTCAAGATCAGGGTTGCCAGGTAAAATACAGACACCCAGTTACATCTGAATTTCAGATGAACGATGGATATCTTTTTTAGTATAAATATGTTCCAAATCTTGCATGAAACATGCTTATACTAAAACATAATTTGTTGTTCATATAAAATTCAAATTTGGCCCTGGCTGATGTGACTCAGGGGACTGAGTGCCGGCCTACAAACTAAAGGGTTGCAGGTTCGATTCCCAGTCAGGGCACATGCCTGGGTTGTAGGCCAGGTCCCTAGTTGGGGGCACAAAAGAGGCAACCGCACACTGATGTTTCTCTCCCATTCTTTTCCCCTCACTTCCTTCTCTCTAAAAAGAAATACATAAAATCTCTAACATAAAAATAAAATTCAAATTTGACTGGGCGGCCTGGCATTCACTTGCTAAAGCTGGCAACCCTTCCCAAGTTTCCTTCTGTCGCTTGGCCACAGGCTCACACGGAGGCCCCAGAGCCTGAGGGACAGAAAGCCAGACAGCTCTTGCTTGGACAGGCACTGTGGCCTTGCCCCGCTGTGATACGGGAGGCCAAACCACAGCCGGGTGCTGAGCGTCACGCACACTCTCTTGCAGTACATCCGCGTGTCCTATGACACCAAGCCCGATGCGCTGCTGCATCTCATGGTGAGAGACTGGCAGCTGGAGCTGCCGAAGCTCCTGATATCCGTGCACGGAGGCCTCCAGAACTTTGAGATGCAGCCCAAGCTGAAGCAGGTGTTCGGGAGAGGCCTGATCAAGGCTGCCATGACCACCGGGGCCTGGATCTTCACAGGGGGCGTCAGCACTGGTAAGAGCAGACCCAGAACTCCTGGTCTCCAAAGAGCTTTGCAGTCATTGAGATTGGAAAACAAAAGGGATTGCATCTTGGTTATAGTTAGGACAGGAGTGAAGTCTTTATTCAGTAGCTTGTTGGGTTTTTTTAAAATTTTGGTGTGATCGTTGCAATGGTCAACATTTCCAGTACTCACCATGCATGCCGTTCTTTGAACGGAGCCCTGTATGAGCCTCGTTTTCGTTGAGGTTCTTGACTGTCCTGTCTCTAGCACATGGGAGAGGTAAGTGAGGCACAGGGAGGCTGAAGGACATGCCGGGCAGTCTGGCTGTCAACTTTAGCTGAACGCAGCCAGGGAGTGCCACAGAGACCCTGTGACTTCCCTGCTTGGAGACCTGGAAAGAGAATCCCTTCACAGCCAGTTTGGTTTTGGTTTTGTTGAGTTTTGAGAAAGGAAGGGAGAGAGACACATCCATTAGTTGCCTCCTGTATGCTCCCCAAATGAGGGTTGAATCCACAACCTAGGCATGTGCCCTGACCGAGGATTGAACCCACAACCTTTTGGTGTACAGGATGATGTTCCAAGCAACTGAGCCACCCAGCCAGGGCCAGGGCACTTTCTCTTGGAGATGAAGATCATTATGTCTCAGCGCTGTGCTGTGGGGAAAGGAGTGGCTCAAAGAAGGGGGTCCCTGAAGTTCACAAACAATGAGATGCTGGGAGGTAAAGGACCTAAAACATGTGACTTCCGGCTGCTCCCAGGTGTCATCAGCCACGTCGGGGACGCCTTGAAAGACCACTCCTCCAAGTCCAGAGGCCGGGTCTGTGCTATAGGAATCGCTCCCTGGGGCATCGTGGAGAATAAGGAAGACCTGGTCGGAAAGGATGTAAGGGTTTTCCCCTCAGACATGGCCCATTTGTCAAAATCAGTCTTTATTTTGAGGTCATTGTAGATTCCCTTCTCCCTCTGGAGTAAGAAAGAGAGATCCCATATACCCTTTTCTAAAAGGGTACATCTTGCAAAACTATGGCCCAATACCACAATCAGGATCTTGACGTACGTGCAATCAAGATACACCTGTGGTTTGTCACCCCTACCCACACTCTCCCTGCCCCATGTTGCCCTTGGACATCCACACCGAACTCCCTCCCACCCCCTGGTAACCGCCATCTGCCCCTACCTCTAATTTCATCACTTCAAAAATGGCACGTCAGTGGGTCACACAGCATGCAACCTTTGAGGACTGGCTTTTTCACTCCACAATAATCCTCTGGAGATCCGGATCATATGCATATATCAGCAATTTGTGGTTTCCCATTGGCTCTTACCAATAAACCTGCCGTAAACATTTTGTAGACAGGACTTGGCGCTAACGTAAGTTTTTATTTCTCTGCGATCGATGATGCCCCAGAGTGCAATTTCTGGGTTGCTATTATCCAAAATACTTTCATCGTTTCTCATTTAAGATAGACATTTGCAAACACAAAACAATCGTTCCTTTGAGAGACTAAGAAAGGGTAAGAAACACGCAGTTAGAGGAAGCCGTTGCTTTGTGCGAACGCATGCTCACCTCCCGTGCTGGTGCCCCACTCTGATTCATGCTGCGTATTTTGCCAGGTGACGCGAGCCTACCAGACCATGTCCAACCCCCTCAGTAAGCTCTCCGTGCTCAACAGTTCCCACACCCACTTCATTCTGGCCGACAACGGCACCCTGGGCAAGTATGGTGCCGAGGGGAAGCTCCGGAGGCAGCTGGAAAAGCACATCTCTCTGCAGAAGATCAACACCAGTAAGTTCTGGCGAAGGCCAAGGCCAGTGGGCTGCCTGAGGGAAACTGCCCCCCCCCCGGGGTATTTAAAACCTTAACCTTGATTCCTGGTAGAGCAGCAGAAGACAGCTTGCCTCGAGCCTTTTCCTGAGACACCTGCAAAGCACACCCCACTGAGCTGTGTCCTGAGGCTTTGCCCCAAGATCAGCCAGGAGGGTTGATGCAAGAAACAGCTCTGCAGCAGTTGCCATGGTGACAGCAACTGCCTGCCATGTTGGCGCATGGTTCCAGTTCCCTAGAGTTGCTGTAGTTATCTTTTTAATGCTTGAACAAAAACCATTTCTCCAAGACTTAGTATGGTTTCTTCCATCCTCTGAGTGTTGTGTGATCCCTGGATTGAATAGCTCCAGCTTTGGTCTGTCAGCCAGACCAAGGCTGCGCAGGGGGCACGTGCCTGGGGGAGAATGCTGAGGGCAAGTTAGAGGGGAAGGAGCAGTCCTCAACCAGGCTCAGTGATAACAACAACTCGTTAGAGTGAACACAACCAACGTAACCTCTTGGAACATGCTCCTACTCCAGTGACCTTTATAGTTGAGCAGTGACTTTTAGTGATTTAGTAGATCACCAAAAAGTGATCTTCGAGAGTAGTTTGTCTTTACCCCGACTGGTGTGATTTTTGTGAATGAAAACCTGGAACTGATCATTAGGAAGCGCAATTACAGGGGCTGTCTTCACAGTGATTACAGGGGAGAGGGCCTGCTACGCAAAGTTGTGGATTTCCAGGGATCCGCTCTCTGTTGACAGATTGGCTGGTGACTGAATTTTTTGTTCTCCCGTGTTCTCATTTTTCTGGACTTGTGAGTTTCACACCGCCCAGCTTCGCCTGGCCACGTGACCGGTGGGCTTCCCTTTGTCATCCTTTGCCTAGGGCTCTGAGTGGGGCAGGGACAGCAAAGGGGGGCTCAGCTGTCACCTCTCACAGCACGGAGCTTTGGAGAGTCCAGCCTAAACCACGAAGAATGCATTCCGCTCCATTTCTGGAAATGGAGGGGATTCAGGCACTGCATTCCCGGATGTCTGAAATGCTAAGCGTTGCTTGGGTTGGGGACCTCAGAGACAGGGTCCAGGTCATCTTGGTCCATTTTTCCAGTTTCTCTCGGGCAGGGCCGGGCCCAAAGCGGGCCCTCACACACCCATTTGCTGAACTGAACTTAACCGAGATTATTCTGGTAGGAGTTGTTCAAAACACAGTGAACTTCCTGACTGTAGAAAGGTGGCACAGAAGCAGACCAGAAGCCCTGAATTCCCCCACTTGAAATTCTTAGCTCTCGCTCTGGCCGCCCCCAGCCTGGCTCAACTGGTTGTCCTGCAAAATGAAAGGTCGCCGTTCGGTTCCTGGTCCGGGCACCCCCAAGCCTGGGCTGCAGGTTCAGTCTCCCGTGAGAGGCAACCAATCTGTGTTTCTCTCCCTTTCTCCCTCCCTCCCTCTCTCTAAAAAAAAATAAATATATATATATATATATATATATAAAAGATTTTATTTACTTATTTTTAGAGAAAATAAAAAATTAAACTAAAAAAACTAAAAAAAACTAAAAAAATATATATATTTTAAAGATTTTATTTACTTATTTTTAGAGAGGGAAGGGAGAGAGAGAGAGAGAGAGAGAGAGAGAAACATCAATGTGCAGTTTCTGGGAGCCATGGCCTGCAACCCAGGCATGTGCCCTGACTGGGAATTGAACCTGCAATGCTTTGGTTCACAGCCCGCACTCAATTCACTGAGCTACACCAGCCAGGGCTAGTAAGTAATATTTTTTTAAAAAGAAATTCTTAGATCTCTTGACATATGCTGGCAGAATGTCATCCAGAGGCCTCCCAAACAGTGAGGCCGAGGACACTTCTCCCACGTGGCATTGGTGGATGGCAATCAGATGACTCTCACGACATCTGGTGAAAGGTGCTCAGAATACAAGGTCACGGCCAGGCTGGGGTAAAACTGTGAACGAGGCACATGTGTCTCTGCTGCCCTTCCGTCGCCCGAGCCCCAGGTTTTTGGACCCTCCTGCTGCCTCCGGCCTCCCAGAGCCCACCCGCCCTGCTGGCTCTGACACCCATGTCTGCTGGCTCCTCCCTTGTCCCTGGAGAGCCCTGTGGTCTGCTGGAGACGGGGGAGGACCCTCAAGGGCTATCGTCGGTCCATGGGTTTGCTCTCCCTGGACTCATTGCCTGTTTCAGAGGCTGGAGGCAGCAACACCTACAGAACTGACCACACCGACAAGCCAGTTAAGGTTTACAAAGTACTTGGATGTCCAAACAGTTTCTTATACTCATATTTGATGCCCCTTTAGGAGACAAAGGGGGCAGGGTGATGATATACCTTTAACATATGTTCCCGTAGGGCCCGTGGTGGCTTGGTCATATGAGTAGTGCATGAGGCCAGGAGGGTGAACTGAGCTCTTTTATTGCTGTTTCATTCTTGTTATTGCTTTAGCAATTTTATTTATTTGATTTTAGAGAAAGGAGAAGGGAGAGAAAAAGAGAAGGAGCAGTCACCTCTCGTAGGCACCCCCAACTGGAGGCCGAACCTACAACCCAGGCATGTGCGCTGACCGGGAATCGAACCTGTGGCCTTTCGCTTTGCAGGACAATGCCCAACCGACCAAGCCACACTGGCCGGGGCCACTGTGTCAGACCCTGGGGCAGGGCAGCAAGGGAGGCCTTTTTCCAGCTGAGAGAACCTTCTGGTGTCTCTCCCCTTGAAGCAGCCTGCATGTCAGCTGGGCTGTGCATGGAGCTCCCCCTCAGAGGATTCAGAAAGGCCGTGGTTTTGAGGGTCTGTTTTTTTCCAACGCGGCCACATTGCAGGGTTTGAATACCAAAATGAAAACCACTGCCATCGGGTCTCTCCGTGAGCACGCGCACCTGCCCACCGCCCCATCAGTCCGGTGGTCAGTCTGTAATCTGGGGCGTTCACACGAGCCGCAGCAAGTGCCAGGACACGGGTCTGAGGGCGAGCGCGGTGTGTGTTGCAGGGCTGGGCCAGGGCGTGCCCGTCGTGGGCCTCGTGGTGGAGGGCGGCCCTAACGTCTTCTCCATCGTCCTGGAGTACCTCCGCGAGGAGCCTCCGGTCCCCGTGGTGGTCTGCGACGGCAGTGGACGCGCCTCGGACATCCTGTCTTTCGCGCACAAATACTCGGAGGAAGGAGGGTAGGATTTCCGACCTCTTCCCGGGGGGTGGGGTTGTAGCTACCTTGCTGGGTGAGGCCGAAAAGAAAAACCTTAGCCATTCCAAAAACGTAAAACACGGAAGATGCATGCGATGCTCCCATTTCCCGAGGCTGGCGGGAGAAGGAGCCCTCAAGACCCGCGACGTTTCTTACAGAATTCCTTCTTTGGGGGGACACGCTCTCTCCCAGCTTCGTCTTCCCTTATAAGGTTTGCCACAAGCCCGGAATGCAGGATGAGTGTGAACACAGTTTCACACTCAGCTCCCTCTGCGTCTGCTGTCCCGGGATCCCCTCCAATAGAAAAGTTTCCGACCAAAGGCACCAGATGGACCTGGAGACGTCAGACCGATTCCCGCTCACCGACCTAACTTACGCTGTCTTCCTCTCTTTGGCGTTCCCTTTAAACAGGGTCATAAATGAGTCCCTCAGGGACCAGCTCCTGGTCACCATGCAGAAAACATTTAATTACAGCAAGACCCAGTCGCTTCAGCTGTTCGCAATTATAATGGAGTGCATGAAGAAGAAAGAGCTCGTAAGTGTCTTGGAAATATTTCCGAGCCAGCTCCGCTGAGAGAATCGTGTTTCCTTCCTAATTCTGCCCATGTGTGCGTGACGGGGTTGTTCACGTCCCAGCTCGGCTTTTCCAAAAGACGGCGCACAAATCCACACCAAACCGGCTGTCACGTCCACGGGACGGCAGCTGCGTGAGCTCGCAGGGTCGAGCGACCCGGGTGCGTTCAGACCTCGGTTGAGGTTAGGTGACGTCATGCCGCGTCACTCCAACGCTAAGGTGCGCGATGTTAATCGGATCTAAAGATCTGAGGACCGACACGTACACCACTCTTTTAGGTGAGCTTGTAAAATCCTGTCCCATCACTTTCCAAATACATTACAGGCCTACCTCACAGAGAGCGTGGGCTCCGTTCCAGGCCACCGCAACAAAGCGAGTTGTAATCGTTTTGCCGGTGGAGGATCTTACCTTCAATTTGTGTAACAAAAAAAAATGCAGTATCTGTGAAGTGCAATAGAGCAAAGCGTCGTAGTGAAACGAGATGTGCCTGTAATTATTTCCCACGCCTTGCCTCCCTAATGATTCTCGTAAGGGATAGGCACCCTCATTGCATGCACAAGGTAGCCTCTTCAAAATTCTACAAATTTCTTTTAAATACAGGCATACTTCAGAGATATCGAAGGTTGGGTTTCAGACCACTATGGTAAAGCAAAGATTGCAATAAAGTGAATTTTCCCCAGTGCATAAAAGAAGTTCCATTCACACTCTATTGACACGTCTATTAAATGTGCAATAGCATTATGTCTAAAAAAAATCAATGTGCACGCTTCAGTTCAAAAATACTTAATTGCTAACAAATGCTAACCATCATCCAAGGCATCTGCAAGCTCTCTGTCATCGTTTAGCTGGTGGAAGGTCTTGCCTTCAATTTGTAAGCTCGATACCTGCAAAACACAATAAGATGAGGTAGGCCTGGGCTGGTGTGGCTCAGTGGATTGAATGCTGGTCTATGAACCAAAAGGTCGCTGGTTCGAGTCCTGATCAGGACACATGCCTAGGTTGTGGGCTGGGTCCCAGTAGTGGGCACACCAGAGGCAGCCTCACACTGACGTTTCTCTCCCTCTCTCTTTAAAAATAAATAAGTAGTCTTGGCTGGCGTAGCTCAGTGGATTGAGCGTAGGCTGCGAACCAAAGCATCGCAGGTTCGATTCCCAGTCAGGGCACGTGCCTGGGTTGCAGGCCATGGTCCCCAGCAACTGCACATTGGTGTTGCCCAGTACCCGGTGGCAACCCAGGCATGTGCCCTGACTGGGAATCGAACCGGTGACCCTCTGGTTTGCAAGCCCGCACTCGATCCACTGAGCCACACCAGCCAGGGCTCAACGTCTCTTTACTCAGTGTTTTCACGATCCACCTGTTTCCAGGTCACCGTGTTTAGAATGGGTGCCGAGGGGCAGCAGGACATGGAGATGGCGATTTTAACTGCCCTGCTGAAAGGTGAGCTGTGGGGAGATGGCGCCTCCTGATCTTTCAAGAAATCCGTCCCCTTCCCCTGTTGGTGGCGGAGCCCCGAGCCAGCCAGCTGCCTAGACTCGTCTCAGTAGGAAGCCACGGTAGAACGACAGGGGTCCTCGATAGGGGCGCTGTCAGCCTCGGACCATGACAGCTGAAGTCAGAACCAGTTTCCATCTGCACCCCGTTCATGAAGGGTTTCCACTCACAGAGGGTAAACCCCAAATAGGTCCCCTTCCCCCACACTCCAATCACTGCACCCTGCAGTGTCTTGTCCAATTTCCCTGCTCCTCTCCTAATGCCATGCTGGCTGCAACCTGACCACTCCTGGGGTGGCTTGGGGGCAGGGACCTCCTGCCTGCCTCTTGGCTCTGCTGGGACAATGACAAACAGCAGGAGAGAGGAGAGGGCGTCATCAGCCTAGCTGTGCTGGGCTGGTTCTCTGAACGGCTTCACGGTAGTGCTCTCCTGGGCTGCCCTCACCTCCAGCCTGGGGGCGCAGCACCCACTGGCCTTGCCTGGCGGAGGCCTGACAGTCCCAAGTCCAGATAATGGTCCTAGAGTCCCTAGGTGGCCTCCAGCCTCTCCAGGGCAGCCCCTTGAGAAGATGGAGTTCTTAGCTTTGGGTCCTAGGCGGTCACTCCGGGGCACAAGAGAAGGCAGCGATGCTGAGTTCCAGCCCCGCACCCTGGGTGGTCCAGGCCCGGAGAGAATCGCCTGCTTTCTTGCCTTTCCAGGAACGAACGCGTCAGCTCCGGACCAGCTGAGCCTGGCGCTGGCTTGGAACCGCGTGGACATAGCGAGAAGCCAGATCTTTGTCTTCGGGCCCCATTGGCCGGTGAGACTGTTTTCCGATTCATATCATTTCTCCTGACTTTGTCCAGATGTTTCTGTCCTGTGCTCCCCTTGTGACCCCCCCCCACCGGGGCTCAGTAAATGATCTGGGGGGTTCTGATGATTCAATGCTTGATCCTCTAGGATTATTAAGGGATGTTGTTGTTATTTAACATCAAAGAACCAGGAGGAAGTTAGAGCTTGCCAGCACTAATCACAAACTCAAACCAGTGCTCTTGAAGAAATTATCACTAAATATTTTAGCATGGCAGGTGAAAGTGGGTTTTACCCTTTTATTTATTTATTTATTTTAAAGATTGTATTTATTTATTTATTTCTAGATAGAAGGGAAGTGAGGGAGAAAGAGAAGGAAAGGAACATCTATTGGTTCCTTTCTTGCACACCCAACAGGGGACCTGGCCTGCAACCCAGGCATGTGCCCTGACCGGGAACTGAACCAGCGATCTCTCGGTTCAAAGGCCAGCACTCAATCCACTGAACCACACCAGCCCCAGCAAAGATTTTACCCTTTTAAACAAAAGAGAAAAATAGCTCCTTAAAATTAGATGCAATGATTGCACTGAGGGCATAGAGTTTTCAAACTGTTTCACAAAACTCTGGAGGCCCCGAGGACCCTGTGTAAGTGTACTCACGTTCGCACGAGTGCATGGTACATGTGTGTGCTAACATGCACGTGTGTGCATGTGTGTGTCTTCCCCATTCTGCTTGCTGTGGATGCAGCCCCTGGGCAGCCTGGCCCCCCCGGTGGAGAGCAAGGTCATGGAGAAGGACAAGAAGCCGCCCACGGCAACCACCAAGGGCGGCAGAGGGAAAGGAAAAGGCAAGAAGAAAGGGAAGGTGAAAGAGGAGGTGGAGGAAGAGACCGACCCCCGAAAGATCGAGCTGCTGAACTGGGTACGTGGGGGGGTCTCTGCTCCCGTGTCTCAGGATTGGCTCCAGCCCTACCTGGGGCCCTGGCTCCCAGGAGGCCACGGGAAGGCATTGGTGAGATTGCAGCTGTATCACCTGTGCTGGGGAGCAGCTGTCACGTTGTCACAGACGTCCCTGCTTTGGGGGCATAAAGCCACTGACAGAGGAGGCTGGGTCATCAGGCTCAACGGCAGGTCTCTCTGCCTGGCAGACGTGCAGGTGCTCGAGGTGGGAGAACACGGGCAATACCCCAGCCGAACAAGACACGAGGCCTGGGACTGGGTGCAGGGGAGGCTGACAGGACCCACCTCCGGCCTTGTCACTGCTGGGACACAGGCCAGACAGGGCTCCGGGCCTCTGCAGGGACAGGTGGCTGGCACGGTCACTGCCGCTCACCCTGGTGGCACACTGCACGCCCTCTCGGTCCCGCCTGGCTGCCACACAGGGGACTTTAAGTCAAGGAAACAAACTCTGCCCAGCAAGCCTTCCCATGGTACCCAGGGCTGCAGGCGCTGTCATGCTTGAGGACAGAGATGTGAATACTAAATCATGGTAAATAGAATAGTGCCATCTACCACCTTAGGAACCGTTTGTGGAGGTGGGAGCTTGGAGATTCTAGGACTGATTGCAGTTTTATTTAGAAAAGAATGCAACTCATGTGGTTTTCTCTTTCGTGTTTATATTACGAGAGAAGCGAATAAACCATCTTAATTTTAAAAAAAGTGGAAACTAGAGAGGGCAGTGGCAGTTTGGCTGTCATGTTGCATCGTCTTCAGCTTGTTTTAAAAAAGGAGAGAATCACTCCTTTTTCTCACTATTTTTTAAAAAGATTTTATTTATTTATTTATTTATTGTTAGAGAAAGGGAGAGAGGGAGAGAAACATCCATATGCGGTTGCCTCTCGAGCGCCCCCTACTGGGGACCTGGCCCACAACCCAGGCATGTGCCCAGACTGGGAATTGAACTGGCGACCCTTTGGCTCGCAGGCTGGCACTCAATCCACTGAGCCAGAGCCTTTTCCCCCTTTTATCGAACTTGGATGGCTGGTCTGACATATACCAGCAGGCCAAACTGATGGGAAAGGGGAGGGGAGATGGGTGTGTTTACTGATGACAGAGAGCAGAGAGAGCCCTGTTTAGAAAGCTATAGAATCTGGGGCCAGAATACACTTTGGGGGATGTTTCCAACCTGCCTCCTGCCTCCTGTCCCCCCAAGAGGACACTCCCAGGCTCCCCTCCTGCCCTCGCGCAGGTGAACGCTTTGGAACAGGCCATGCTGGATGCTTTGGTCTTGGATCGCGTGGACTTTGTGAAGCTCCTGATTGAAAACGGAGTCAACATGCAGCACTTTCTCACCATCCCGAGGCTGGAGGAGCTTTACAACACCGTGAGTGGCCAGGAGGGGGCGCCAAGGGGAGCCCTGGGCGCCCCGATTGCTGGTGCGCGGTGCCCAGAGGGTCCTGGAATTATTGAAAAACCATTTCAGTGGGAGGGCCCCCACTGAATGGCAGGCAGGTATCCTACCGATTTATTTATTGTTGTTACAGTTTTTAAAACCCCAGGGTAGGCTTTTGCTCCAAGCTGAAGAGGAAACCATAGTTAACATGGCTGAACGCTTGCCTTTCAGAGACTGGGTCCACCAAACACTCTGCATCTGCTGGTCCGGGACGTTAAAAAGGTGGGTCTGCCGTTTTGTTATCCTTACCTATGGGCATCTTTCCATAACGTATTCTTTAAAAATGTATTTACGGATTAGAGTTGGCAAACAGCATTGTATTAGTTTTGGGGGTACAATATAGTGATCAGGCATTTGTATCCCTTACGGACTGACCTCCCCCCCCGAAGTCCAGTGACCACCCGACCCCATACAGAGTTATGGCAGTATTACTGGCTGTATTCCCTGCACTGTGCTTTGCAATCCTGTGACTGTTTTTCTGATTTGGACTGCTCAAGAACACATGTTACAGAACAACTTTTCAATTTCTAAAATGTATGCTCCTCTTATTGGCGGCCTAAGAAATAATGAACCCCTCTCTTCGTGAAAAGAATTCATTTACGATAAAAAAAATCATCCTTTTTAAGTCTGATGCTCCTCCTCTCACACGATAGGCTGAGAGAGTGGTTAGGGGTGGGCTGCACGGCCAAGGCCAGGGCTTCAGCCAGGGGAGGGCCCCCCTACGGCTGCCTGGGGCCAACTTCTGTCCCTGCTGTCTCGAGCTCTGTGTCTGCGTTAAGACCTGCCACTCTGCCTCTTTCTCAAAGTACCGTGAGGACATGCCTCTGTCACTCTGTGTGTTCCAGGGAGCGAAGCAGCTGTCCTTGTTCCTCTCTTCTCCCTCTTTGGGAAGTGACATCTGTTCCCTGTTTCCCACTGCTATGAAGTAGAACAGTCTATATGCTTGGGGGACCCCCTCCGGTCACCCTCCAGCCCTGGTCTTTCTCGAGTCATGCGGCCACAGGCTAAAGCAATGAATGGGGTTGATGTTGGAAGTAATTCATTCCACTGGAATGCCGCAGTCCCTGGCATGCTAAGGGTGGCGTGTGCATTCATATTCTCAGCCAGAGAGGCTAACTCAGATGAGGGAACAGAGGAGAGACTCCCCAATATTCTGGTCACGTGTCATGTAAAAGTCTAGTTGTAACAGCAGGAGACAGTCGTTGGACCCTGCCCCCTCCCCACCTTCCGATCGCACCAGGTCGTTTGTGGGTTCAGGTCCTTACTGAAATCTGGGAGCACCCCAGAAAGTCACAGGTCACCATGGGAAGCTGCCTCTGGAGATGCCGGATCCCCAGGGATAGTCCCTCCATCCACAGCCTCCCGTGGAGCCCACCTTCCTGTTCCCCGTGAAATGTGGACTCCAGCCCCCGGAAGTGGGCTTCTGCCCTGCAAGCAGCTAGCAAAGCCCCTTCTCCACAAAGCCCATCTGCTTGGACAAGGGAGGGTCACCCAGACGCACGATTCACTGCTTTCCACTGCAAGCCATTCTGCCTAAGTCCAGTCTCTCCTACTGGACTTCTCACTCTTCTCCCTGGGAAGGTTTTATCATTTTCTAAAGTATGGCGGAGTCACATGGTGATAGACTTAGTGCCCTTTGGTGCCCCGTTGTGACCCTAGCGCCCGAGCAGGGACCAGGCAGGGATGACTCTGCGTGCCTGAGGGGTGAGGGTCGAAGTCCGCGCTTCTCGCAGGGCCTGAGACTCGGCCTCTTGTCTTGCAGGGCAACCTGCCGCCCGATTACCACATCAGCCTCATCGACATAGGGCTGGTGCTGGAGTACCTCATGGGGGGCGCCTACCGCTGCAACTACACGCGCAAGAGCTTCCGGACCCTGTACAACAACTTGTTTGGGCCCAAGAGGGTAGCGCTGAGCGACCGTGTGTGGTGCTGGGTGGTCTCAGAGTCACGCGGGCTTCCTTGTCGCCTTTCCCAATAACTCAGCCTGTTTGGAGTTGAGCTCCTCACCCCGTCCCCAAGCGCGGCTGCCCTTCCTCCTGCAGGGACTCGGGTGTGAGGACCTCACTGTCCCTGTAGATGCCCAGGCTTCACCTGGGGCCACTGGCCTTTATCCTTAATGAGTGGAGATGCTCAGGCCCCCCAAGGGGGGGACCCCTTTGCATCTGCCCTCCCCCCCCACGGACTTTGTTGCTGCCCTCTTCATCCAATGGCCGTGGGGACCTACTTCTTCCAAAGCAAGGGTTGGATCAGTGGCTCGCCCCCTGCTCAGAGGCTCCCAGGGCTCCTCACAGCCTGAAGATTCACTGCCAAGGTCACTGTCCCAGCATCCAAGGCTCTGAGAAGCTGACAGTCATCCCCATCCTGTCATGGGGAACCACAGACCTCTGCCAAAATCAAATTGTATGGCCGTGGTGGCTGAGTCTCCCCCACACACCCCCGCACCCCAATCAAAATTCTTCATTTAGCACAAGCCCAATGCAAATAGCCCTTGGCTTGCAGTTGGACCCCATAGCACGGTGCCCGCATTTCTGTGAGTGAATTTCTCTGGTTCCGGCTGGAACGAGGGTCACGTGTCTGCACACCCTTCCCCTCAGCTGACCTCACGGAAGCCGAGCTTCCCTATTAAGGCATTTCCTTTCCTTGGCCATCATCCTCAATTGTTACTCTATTATTATATCTCTTGCGAACTCTCCTGCTCAAGTCCCACTAACATCGGTTATCTGACCAAATTGTTTTTTCTTCCTCCCCTTTCACCATGCAGCCTAAAGCTCTTAAACTCCTGGGAATGGAGGTAAGTTGGGTTTGTTTTCCACAGTTTATGGTACCTTGGTCGAATATGTGTGCCGTCTTCGTTTTGTGTTTGCTTAACACAAAATGAGTTTGTTTTTCTTGAGTCAATCCAGTACACTATACACACCAAATTTGTTCTGATGATTCCGTCAAACCATGAAAAGTAATCGTAGGTGTCTTGAAAAGTTAGATGTTACCCAATTCATTTTCTAGAATTAGCAAGACCATGGTTTCCAAAGCAGACAAAGATCAAACCAAAAACCTTGGAGAATAATGGCACTTATAATCACAAAAATAATAAATAAGCCCAAAATGCATTTGATGGAATATTGTTAAAGTCATAAACAAGTAATTAAAGTCTTCTAAGAATGCAAATATGTTTTAATGTTAATAAGTCTTTAATAGATTGCCTCATATCAACAAGTTAAAGCAGAAAAACAGTGTGACATGATCATTTTTCAATGGATGGTAAAGAATTAAAAAAAAAACTAAAAATAGAGCTGCTGTATGATCCAGCAATATGACTTCAGGGTCTTTATCTGAAGAAAACAAAACCACTAATTTGAAAAGATAAATGCACCCCTAAGTTCATTGTAGTGTTATTTATCATAGCCAAGATATGGAAGCAACCTAGGTGTCCACTGATGGGTGAATGGATAAAGAAGAAGTGGTATAGCTCTGGCCAGGTAGTTCAGTTGGTTAGAGTGTCATCCTGATACACCAAGGTTGTGGGTTCGATCCCTGGTCAGGGCATATACAAGAAACAACCAATGAATGCATCAATAAGTGGAACAACAAGTCCATGTTGCCCTCTCTCTTTCCCCCCTCTCCCAAAAATCAATCAATAAAAAAGGAAGAAGCTGTGGTACATATATACAATGAAATATTAGTCATAAAAAGGAATGAAATCTTGCCATTTGGGACAGCACAGATGGACCTAGAGTGTATTATGCTAAGTGAAATAAACCACACAGAGAAAAATACCATATGATTTCACTTCTAGTTGGAATCTCAAAAAACTGACATGAATGAACAAGCAAAACAGAAACAGATCCACAGATCAGGAGAATGAGCTGATGGTTGCCAAAGGAGGGGGTGGGGGTGCGTGAATAAAAAAGAAAAAAAATTGTAGAATAATTTCCTTAACTTTTTTAAAAAAATTAGTTTACTAGAAGCAGACCACCAAAATAAAAGAAATGAGAATAAACATACTTCCTGATGTGATTAACATACATGGAAAGCTTATGGGAAGAGGAAATCCATCACTGAGCAGTGGACCACTGGGGTCCTTTCTATTACAATCAAGAACAAGATAAGGTAGCCTGTTATTGGTCACATCAGAGTTATCCCCATTAGCTCTTCAAGTATTCTGGAAACTGTACCACCTAAAGAATATTTTTTAAAACACCTTAAAAAGGGAGGAAATAATTATCAGCAAAAAAATATTTTGTATCTAAAAAACCCAGGAAAATCCTCTAAAAATTTCTGTGACATTAGGACAGAAGTACACTTAAGAAGGAACCTTAAGAACAGAGCACATAGACACAAAAATATTTGAGTAGGGGGTGCAGGCTCTCTCTGGCTCTCAGGAGCTCTCCTTCCTCAAGGATGCCTGGGTGATCGTGCCGCAGCTGCCTGCATTGCCTGAGACCCCTAGGGAGGGCAGCCACCCTCAAGAGACCATGTAATAATGAGATTTGAGGATATAAAAAGAATAAACTAGCCCTCGCTGGTGTGGCTTAGTGGATTGAGCCCTGGCCTGTGAACCAAAGGGTTGCAGGTTCGATTCCCAGTCAGGCAGGGCACCTGCCTGGGTTGTGGGTCAGGTCCCCAGTAGGGGGCGCATGAGAGGCAACCACACATTGATGTTTCCCTCTCTCCCTCCATTCCCCTTTCTCTAAAAAATTGAAGTAAAATCTTTATAAAAAAGAATAAACTAGAGGGATGGCAAGACAACAAAAAATCTTTTGTGGAAGAAAAGTAATATTTAACTCAAAGAATCTAGAAACATCCCTACCCCCCGCATGAGCATGTCCTCCAGGAGAAGAAAGAAAACAAACCACCTCAGCCTTCAGCAACTGACCCTGATTAGTTGGCAACTATTAACCATGAGGCAAGTCCACCCACCAGCCAAAAGATTAAGGCTCGCTGAAGGCTCAGATGAGATTAGCATTTTTTAGCAATAAAGTATTTTTCTTATTAAGTGGTCTGGAATTGAACTTGCCATAGGTCCGAGGTGTGCCTGTCTAAGATGCCAACGTTTGCATCCAGTGTCAGAATGCATCTTAATCTGAGTACAGCTGGTAGTAGTATTTATTTGTTGTGGAAATGAATACATATTAAAATGCAATGCAATGGTAATTTAGAAAAAAAATACTGGCCTTGACATAAAGTTCTTTGCACATAAAAAAATACTTAAATGAATGGAAGGAAGGCCATGTCACAGAGTACTGAAACTGAGTATGGTGAAGGCTCTTCTCACACAAATTCCTGTGTTACATCGCATCCCATTTCTGGGTGGATTCGGGGTAGGTGGTTTTGGTTCTGTGTTCACAATTAAGGCAGACCTTTAGCATGGTGGATTGTGGTCGCTGGAGTTGTGGTCCTATATGGGATATGGTATGCAGCTTTCCGTAACTTTCTGTTCTTTCAAAATCTTTGAGTCATGTCGGGTTTGTCTGTTGGGCGAAGTTGTGGTAGCTCTCGCCTCTAAAAATAGCCTGGTCTCAGCCCTGTTTGGGGAGCTGCCTTTTACTACTTCTAAAATAACTTGCATGTTATGGGTCAATTTGGGCTTTCTATTTCCTAGAGTTAACTTTGGTCATTTATATTTTCTTTTTTTTTTAAGATTTTATTTACTTATTTTTAGAGAGGGAAGAAAGGGAGAAAGAGAGAGAGAGAAACATCAATGTGAGGTTGTTGGGGGCCGTGGCCTGCAACTCAGGCATGTGCCCTGACTGGGAATCGAACCTGCGACACTTTGGTTCGCAGCCCGCTCTCAATCCACTGAGCTACGCCAGCCAGGGGCTATATTTTCCTGGAAAACAGTGATTTCATCTAGACTTTCAAGTTCATTGGTGTTAAGTTTTACATAGTATTCTAATTTTTTATTTATTAATTTTTTATTGATTTTAGAGAGAGAGAAACATCGATTTGTTTTTCCACTTATTTATGAATTCAGTGGTTGTTTCTTGTATGTGCCCTGACTGGGGATCAAACTCACAACCTTGGTGTATCGGGATGATGCTCTAACCACCTAAGCAACCTGACTAGGACCCATAGTATTCTAACTTCTTGATGTCTTCAATATCTTTAGCTGTGTGCCATTCCTTGTTCCAATTTTTCAAAATTTTTATTTTCTCTTTTTTTCTTAACCATATTTGCCTATGTATCTGGCATGTTTGCCTTATCAAACAACTTTCTTTATTCTGTTTTCTATTTTAATAGTATCTGCTTTCATTTTCATTCACATCTTCCGTATGTTTCCTATAGTTACCATGCTATTTTTACTGACTCAGTTTGAAATTGAGGTTTGCTCCTTTTCTGTCTTCCCTGTGTTCCAACAAATGTACTAAAAGTATAATTTTTCTCTGAGCATTGTTTTCATGGTATCCCACAGGTTTGGGTAAATAAAACCTTCATTGCCATCATTTCTAAATATTTATAATTGCCTCTTTCATCCAAGAGTTGTTTATAAGCATATTTTAACTTTTCTAGGTACAGGCTTTTATTGTTGTCATTATCCCACTGTTGTTCATTTCTAATTTTATTCTTTGAATGGAGACTAACAAGAAATCACTGAGATATAAAATCTTAGAGCAACTCGGGTTTAATGCCTGGTTGAATTTTGTTAATGATTCACGTATGTAGAAAACAAATGTGTATTCTACGTTTGTTGGGTCCAGTTCTTATACTTACCTGTCTGATCAAACTTGGTCATTATGTTATTCCGTTTGCTTCTGTATTTACTAAGTTTTTCAAGTTCATTTCTTTTTTAAAAAAGGATTTTATTTACTTAATTTTAGAGAGAGGAGAACGGAGGGAGAAAAGGAGAGAAACATCAATGTGTGAGAGATACACCAATCAGTTGTCTCTTACGTGCCCCCTACTGGGGACCTGGCCCACAGCCCAGGATGTGCCCTGACTGGGAATTGAACTGGTGACCTTTCAGTTCTCAGGCTGGGGCTCAATCCACTGAGCCACACTAGCCAGGGCTCAAGTTCATTTCTAAGTGAGTTGTGTTTAGAGACACACTGTGATTTTGGACATGTTCATTTCTCTTTCTATTTCCAGTTCCTGTTTTTTGTTGTTTTCTCTGGTTGTTTCTCTTGTTCTTGTTTATTGTGGAAGTTCTCTGCATTTTAGGGAAGTGAAGCCCTTGTTTGTAATCTTCTCTCTGTAGTGATCTTAAAATCATTTTAAGAGCATTTGCATACAATTAATATTTTTATAATATTCTATATTATTGAAAGGTAGGCTTAAACAGCCTTCTGTTTTACATTCCATTAGCTGTTGATGAATTTTTACTTGATTTAATATATTCTTGAAAATAAAGCTAAGTTTATTTTAAAATTTCTATTATGTCAGTTTTTAACCTACATTGATCAACTTTCTCAAAATTACTGTATAGTTTTACTGTGACAAAATAGAAAATTATTCCTTGGCTGTTGTGGCTCAGTGGATTGAGTCACAGTGGATTTGGCCTGAGAACCAAAGGGTCTCTGGTTTGATTCCCAGTCAGAGCACATGCTTGAGTTGTGGGCCAGGTCCCCAGTAGGGGGTGTGCAAGAGGCAACCACACATTTTTCCTCTCCCTTTCTTCCTCCCTTACCCTCTCTCTAAAAATAAATAAAATCTTTTAAATCAATTATAAAATGAGAACACAAACTTTGAAATCAGAGGCAAGATATGATAGTTTCAATAAAAATGTTATAACCCATTATGGGATTATTAAAAGGGGGGTTGTGCTGAACACCGTGGGACAAGGATTGAAGAGCTGGGCCCCCCCAACTCTGGCCACACCAGCGGGGTCACTGTGGGCAGGTTCTCCAGTCTTTTGGCCACAAATTCCTCATCTGAGGAAATGAAGAAATTCACAGCCTCTCAGAGTAAGAATAAAAGTAGATAATTGAGAACAAATAAAAGTAGATAATTGATGGGAACATGTTTGCCGAAGAACAAATATAGTTTTTTTTTTAAGATGTTATTTGTTTATTCTTAGAGAGGGGGAAGGGAGGGAGAAAGAGAGGGAGAGAAACATCCATGTGTGAGAGAAACATCGATTGGCTGCTTCTTGCCTGTGGGACCGAAACCCAGAGACTCGCCCTGACTGGGGATCAAACCAGTGACCCTTTACTTTGCGGGATGATACCCAATCCACTGAGCCACACTGCTCAGGGCCAAATATCATTGTTAATATTCCATTGAGTCTTAGCTTGGGACAGTCTAGGCCCCACGTATTTCTGTGTTGCTTCCATGTTCCCCTCCCCAATTCTCTCAGTGGCACGCACATTTCTTTCCTATCCTGCCCCATTTTAAGGACCATCCCTCACAACCCCATGGGGAAGTGAGAAACAATGGCGTTCCATTTGGAACCCACGCACCCAAAGGCAAAGCTCCTTCAGAGTGAACCGTTTGCGACCCTAACACACCAGCAGGGAAACCTAAGACGTTTTTCCCTATCCCCGTTCACATTTCTCTGGTGGACCCCTGATGCCGCCGCTATGTCTGCAAAGCAGAATGGCTCTTGGAAGAGTTTCTTGAGGACGTAAACTGTGGGCTTTCATCTCTCCCACGGTGCTTTTTGTGTTTCAGTGTGTTCTTGTTGTTCTTGTTTTATTTCTGCAGCATCGCCTCGGTGTTTAAAACACCAATGTGTTCCATTCATTCATGCATTCATTGGTTGATTCTTGTATGGGCCCTGGCCAGGGATCGAACCCGCAACCTTGGCGTAGTGGGTTTTTTAAAAAAAACACTGCCAACACAGGGGTGCAAGTTCTTTAAACGGCAGTATACCTTTGCGTTCATTCTCACAGTTTGCTTCTCAAAATAGCCACGGGTATCTTTTCAGAAGAATTCATGCACCAAGCGGGACCCCCAGATGTCCCTAAGAAGGGTTTTCCTTTTCTGCATCATCTGCCCACGTCTGTGGCAGAACCGTGGACCGTGTGCTTGTGCCCTCCTCAGGATGACGAGCCTCCGGCCAAAGGGAAGAAGAAGAAAAAGAAGAAGAAAGAGGAGGAGATCGACATCGACGTGGACGACCCGGCCGTGAGTCGCTTCCAGTACCCCTTCCACGAGCTGATGGTGTGGGCCGTGCTGATGAAGCGCCAGAAGATGGCCGTCTTCCTGTGGCAGCGGGGCGAGGAGAGCATGGCCAAGGCCCTCGTGGCCTGCAAGCTCTACAAGTCCATGGCGCACGAGTCCTCCGAGAGCGAGCTGGTGGACGACATCTCCCAGGATCTGGACAACAACTCCAAGTGAGCGCCGGGAGGGGACAGGGGGCTGGGGGGCTCTTGTCCCGAGTGCCTGTCCCCTGGCGGGGCGGGGCAGCGCCCGTGTTTCTCCCTCGGGCACAATGATGTTTAAAGCTCGTGCGTGAATCTCTGTGTCCAGCATGTGGAGGGGTTTCCTTCGGCCTCTCGGAGGTGTTTCTGGACTGTCGTTTTTTGTTGGTTGGTTGGTTTTTCAATCCTCTCCCAACGATATGATTTTATTGCTTTTGGGGAGAGGAAGGAAGCGGGGGGAGAGAGAGAGAGAGAGAAACATCGATTGGTTGCCTCTTGTTCGCACTGGGGTCCTCTTTCAGTGCCCACCTGTCCCCTCCATAAATGGGTAGCCACTCCTCTGAGCTCTAATCCCTTTGCATCCTTTCTAATCTGCATGAGAGCATGTGAGGGAGGGGCTTTGTCTTCTCATCTCTGTGTTTCTGGGACCTGAGGGGCAAATCTGGGCTCCACCTAAAGCTCCATTTGCAGCGAGAACAGCCATCCCCTCCCCAACATGACTGAGCACAGAGTCCCAGCCCCAGCGATTCCCCTCTGGGGACGTACCCCCACGCGCTTCAAGGTCTGTCGTGGCTTCGTGTTGTCCCTGTGGTCGAGGCTCTCTCACTAAGAACCTGAGGCCGCTGTGGTTTCAGCCCCTGTTCTGCCTCTTTCCATCCAGAGACTTCGGGCAGCTGGCGGTGGAGCTGCTGGACCAGTCCTACAAGCAGGACGAGCAGGTGGCCATGAAGCTGCTCACATATGAGCTAAAAAACTGGAGCAACTCGACCTGCCTGAAGCTGGCCGTGGCGGCCAAGCACCGGGACTTCATCGCTCACACCTGCAGCCAGATGCTGCTGACCGACATGTGGATGGGGAGGCTGCGGATGAGGAAGAACCCCGGCCTCAAGGTGCTTGTGACGTGCCGGCAGGCTGATAGGGACACTGTCACAGGGGTCCGTGACACCCAGGAGCCCTTACTCTCCCCCAACTGAGCTGAGCGCTTACCATGGGTGGTTTCATTTACTCCTCCGAGCAACCCCATGTGGGAGATGCCATGCCAACCCTTGTCCTGCAGATGGAGAGACTGAAAAGTCGAGATTTAAAAAGTTGAGATTTGCGTAGGATCTGAGTTAGTAAGTCCGGGACCTGACCCAGGCAGGCTCACGCCAGAGTCTGACCTGATCACTGGGCCTGGCTTACAGAGCTTGGCAGCCGCTGAGACAAAAATAACAAGGTTTTCACCTGGGCTGGGCAGCTTGGGTGTTTGGATCGCCATCCTGTACACAGAAAGGTTGCGGGTTCAACTCCCAGTCGGAGCATGTACAAGAGGCAATGGATGGATGTTTCTCACATTGATGCTTCTCTCTCTCTCTCTCAAATCAATAAACATGCCCTCGAGTGAAAGAAATTGCTTAAATGTTATCAGTGGTGGGAAAGGTTAGGAGAATCGATGTAGCTGAAAAATCCCTTTTTCTCGACCCCCACAGGTCATCATGGGGATTCTTCTCCCGCCCACCATCCTGTTCTTGGAATTCCGCACCTACGACGACTTCTCCTACCAAACGTCCAAGGAGAATGAAGACGGCAAAGAAAAGGAAGAGGAACCTGGGGTCAGTGCTACCCTTGCCCACATAAGCATCCGTTGGCTCTTGTTTTCAAAATCATTGAGGTTTCTCTCACCGTGAATTTAGAAGCTGCAATCATTGAGGACATTTTTTGGGGGGGGATTTTTAATAATTCTTTGTTGTTAAAGGCACCTGTCTGTGAAATAGCGTGGGGGCGTGGTGCATTTCCCACCTAGCCAGCCACCCGCCTGCCACCCGTGTGTTCCAGGACACAAACGCAGACGCCAGCTCGAGAAAGGGCGATGAGGAGAATGAGCACAAAAAGCAAAGGACTGTCCCCATCGGGACAAGGATCTGTGAATTCTACAACGCTCCCATTGTCAAGTTCTGGTTCTACACGGTAAGGCCCCCCTTCTCACTGGCCCCGTCGCCTGTTTGGGGACAGTTAGATAGGATAGGATCGAGACAAGCATCAAGGCTGGGAGGAGATGGGACTTCCAGTGAGGAGCACACACATGTGAAATGTACATGTTATGGACAAGTGCTACCTTGGAAAATCTAGTTTCTTTTTTTTTAATGTTACATTTTGGATTTTTTAAAAGATTTTATTTATTTATTTTTAGAGAAGGAAGGGAGGGAGAAAGAGAGAGAGAGAAAAAAACATCAATGTGCGGTTGCTGGGGGCTGTGGCCTGCAACCCAGGCATGTGCCCTGACTGGGAATCAAACCTGCGATGCTTTGGTTCGCAGCCCACGCTCAATCCACTGAGCCATACCAGCCAGGGTTTAGTTTCTTTTTAAAAAGGAAAAAGATCAAGGCCTTTACGAGGTGCTTAAAAATCACTGAATTACAATGAATTGTGAGAACGAAACGGGAGTGAATCCAGATCCTCGCCTAGAACTGGATCTAGCTCTCTCGCCGTCGTATATGTATACGTAAGCAGGAACGTACCAAATACAACACTCTGTAAAGCAACATTGCCCCATTCTATTTGCTTAAGACGTGTTTCAACCTCTTCGGTCAGACAGACTTAGCAAGGTATACTTCCGTTTAAACGCAAACGAGGATGGCTAGTGAACGGGAAAGCAAGCCCACCAATGGCGTCTTGCAGGAAGTGGGCGGGGCTGCTGCCAGAGTGTGGCTGGACTTTGATTGGTGACTCCCAGGGAGCACTCCGAGGCGCTGACCCGCTTGGCCACGCCCTGTCCTCCCGCCCCTTTGGTGGCCGCTCCAGGAGTCTGGCCCACCGGGAAAGAGGGCAGCCCCAGCCTCGCCCCTGTCGGGGCTTCCGCAGGTGGGCGGAAAAGAGGACAGAGGAACAGGAGCACAGATTGGAAGGCCCTGGGGGAAATGGTCCAGCTACAGGTGGTCACAGCAGGGGAGGCAGTGCCCTTGGCTGCTACAACCACGCGGGAGGGACAAGACCACCCACAAAGGCCCGAGCACCAAGCCACACCCACTCCAGGCGCTGTAGCTTCTTTAGGGAGTGGGCACCAGCAGCGGACAGGCGTGGGAAGCTGGATCCAGCCATGGCTGGGGTGAGCTGGTGACCAGGGCTCTGGGACATGGCACCTGGGGAGGGGGCTGCCCAGGGACTCAGACCAGGTGTGGGCCTGGATACACAACCTTCCCGCAGCCACAGGGAGTGACGCGCCCAAAGCCTCCGTCACTTGTGTGTTCCGGTCAGAGGCAGCTGAGGACCAGAGGTGTCCCAGGCCCACAGAAGAGCTCAGATGCCACTGAAGAGGGCAGGGCCAGGAGGCCAGGCAGTCCCAGTCCAGGCTTCCCAATGTTGGGGCTCTTCCCAGTGCCAGCAACTGCTGCCTATGAATGCGGGGGAGGGGCCGCAGGTTGAATAGCTTCCCACGGGACAAAAGCAGGTGCATTTGAGAGCTCTGCCTCCACTGCTCCTGCACAGAATAGATAGTGGATGCAAGGAGCGGGCCTGCATCCTGGTCAAGTTTATAAGGAAAAAGAAAAAAAGGACCACCTAATTCAAATACATAATGGCTAGCCACGCCCCACCCCCAAGACTTCAGAAGGGGCCTGCGCCAGCTCGGACAATGACCTTCAGACCAGTCCCCTGAATCTCATCCCTCACGCCCACCCCTTGTCTTGCCACAAAGACTGGAACGCTGTTGCCGGTGCTCATTGAGGGGACCCGGGACAGGTCTGTGTGCCTGAGCGGACAGCTCATTGTCTTCCCTTCGAGCCTCCTACACCCATCAGTCAGCAGGGAAAGCTCCGGGAGGGAAATCTGAGAGGCAGGGAGGAGCCAGTCACACGGTCCAGTTTCCAGGAATGTAGAAGCCACACCAGTAAACTATTAACAGTTTCCCCATTTATCATCACTTTGGGCAATGCCCTGATTTCCCCCATGAGGGTGAGTGTAGCACAAATCCATCTTCACTTAGAAAGCGACATGTCAGCACCCACGTCGTGCGGAAGCACAGACAGCCGTCCGCCCGCCTCAAGGTCTCCGCCGACCCTGGGGACGAGGATGGAAGGGCCCCTCGAAATGAGTCAGCCCCGTCGGAAGGAAACGCAGATGGGCTTTACGAGATGCGTCAGGCGGAAACCCACGCTTCCGAGCTTCCTTCCAGAGCGGGCTGTCTCCCCCAGCACTGCTCACGGGCTTTTCGTTTCTATGTCTTCCTGTCGCTCAGATCTCGTACCTGGGCTACCTGCTGCTGTTCAACTATGTCATCCTGGTGCGCATGGACCGCTGGCCCTGCCTCCAGGAGTGGGTCGTCATCGCCTACATCGTGACCCTGGCGTTAGAGAAAATCCGAGAGGCGAGTGCTCGCGCTGCCCGCCCCTGCCCCTGCCTCACCACCCCCGGCTTCAGCCCGGAGGGAGCTTCTCATTGCAAGACCACGTCCTGCAAATCCTAAGTCCCGAGGGGGTTTCCTTTGGGTGGGGGGGGGGACGCCACCCCAAGTTTACTCCATGGCCTTGGCTCAGTTAGTTGGAGCATCGTTTTGTACACCAAAAATGTGCCGGTTCCATTCCCTGTCTAGGCACATACTTAGGTTGTTAAACCATAAATCCCTTCTCTGTTGGGTCATAAATAGTCACCATGCCTTCCCACCCCTGGTGTTCCTGAGACCTGTCGCCCCAGAACCCCACCTACCGCACAGTTTAGTGGTGTCCCTGGGGATAGGTCTGTGTGCACCGGCTGCAATGCTAGTTGCTACATATTTACAAGTTTACTCAGGGAGGAAGTAGTGATTTTTAATCAGTGATTTTCAAAGGGTAAGAACTGAGTAGAGGGAAATCATGGTGAACTTCCCCCCTGCCCTGCACGACTTCTCCTGTCTAAACTGCAAAGGAATTCTGGCAAGTAAAAATCCCCTGGCCCGGGCCGCTCGCTCCACTGGGTGGCTTGCCCTTCCACGGGACCACGAGGGTACAGCTGCTCTCCAGAGCCGTTTCCTCCGGGAGCGTCAGCTGACAGGCGCGCGTCCAGAGAATTAGAAAAGAGAAGGAGAGGCAGCTGCTTTAGCTACAGCCAGAGGATATAACTTAGAAGGCATTTCCTGAGAGCTTGCGAAACACTGATTCTAGGAATCCAGAGGATTCCATGGAATTTCCCTTTCTAGATATCTCTGTCTGCCTGAGTCGAGTGGCGTTCGCAGGTCCCGAGCAGGAAGGGGAACCAGATGCCCTGGGAGGTTCCGCTGCTCCCGAGGTCTGCCCAAGATTCTGAGAGGAGACTTCCCGCCCAACACTCCCTGCTCACTGTGCCTTGGCCTGGCTTTCAGATCCTCATGTCGGAACCAGGCAAACTCAGCCAGAAAATCAAAGTCTGGCTTCAGGAGTACTGGAACATCACCGACCTCGTGGCCATCTCCGTGTTCATGATCGGCGCCGTCCTCCGCCTGCAGAAGCAGCCGTACATGGGCTACGGCCGCGTCATCTACTGTGTGGACATCATCTTCTGGTACATCCGCGTCCTGGACATCTTCGGTGTCAACAAGTACCTGGGGCCCTACGTGATGATGATCGGAAAGATGGTTCGTACCAGCACCCCGTGAGCGGCGCGAGACACCGTGGCTGTGGTTTGGACGTGAGGCTGGGTGTCCTTTGGTCTTCCCTTTGCAGTTGGTTTCTTATGGGAAATGTTTTTTTGCTTTAAGATACCTAGTTCTCCTACATGGTAGCAACTTAAAATCCAGCCCTGGGTGGTGTGGCTCAGTGGCTGAGTGCCGGCCTGTGAGTCAAAGAGTCGCTGGTTCAATTCCCAGTCAGGGCACATGCCTGGGTTGCAGGCCCAGTCTCCAGTTGGGGGCACATGAGAGGCAACCACACACTGATCTTCCTTTCCCTCTTTCTCCCTCCCTCCCCCTCTCTTAATAAATAAATGGTCTTAAAAAAATAACTTAAAACCCAGTTGACAGACACGAATCAAGGGCCAACTGTATGCATGTGCACACACCCCAATACGCTGACCGATAACCTTCTAACATGCAGTCGAAGCCAGGGACAAAGGGGACCCAGGGTCATTCCCCGCCTGTATTCCAGACAATCTTCGGCCCACGAGCCCTGGCCTGGAACAGACACAGGCTATTTGTGGGATTAGGTCAACCCAAATCCTTGGCAACTGCTCCTCCAGAACAGGCCATAGAGTCTGAAACTAAGACTGACTCAGTAGATTTTTCCTTGCCTCCCCTAAAAGAGCATCAGCGGTAGGACTGGTTCCAGAAGGAAGGAAGTCTCCTAAGTTTAGGAATAATTCTTTATATCGCAAGCGGTTTGAAGTGAAAGGATATATAATCCCGCGTATCCAGGCAAGGACCTTCATCTTCAGGGATGTTCCAAATTAGAAATTATACCAGTTCAGTATCCAGCAACCAGAGTGTGGCTCACTGTAACTACTCCACACTTGAATAATGAATGGAATACTTAACAGCGTGTGTTCTCAATTCATTATCTTGTTACCTACCTCCTTAGAGATCTCTTCCTCCGACTCCTTAGCCTTCCTTTCAAAGGCACACATTTCCCCATAAGCCTTTTCTTCCTCACTTACAGTTGAAGTGACTAGAAGAATATTTGTTTATGGGCAACGAGAGAAGCAAAAAAGAGATGCAGATAGCGATGTGGTAGAATAAGACGTGTGCGTTGCAGGAAGGAGAAAAACAGCCCGTGGATGGGATGGAGAGAAAGCAAGGAGACTTTCTTCATCCTAATTACGCACTGATGAAGCCTTCGGGGAGGGCAACAAACAGCACGGGCCCTGTGAACTTGACCCGTGAGTGTAGACAACAAGAGATACATTTTCTTTCCACTCAGATGATCGACATGCTGTACTTTGTGGTCATAATGCTGGTCGTGCTGATGAGTTTCGGGGTAGCCCGTCAGGCCATTTTGCACCCTGATGAGGAGCCTTCCTGGAAACTGGCCCGAAACATCTTCTACATGCCTTACTGGATGATTTACGGAGAGGTGTTTGCAGACCAGATAGACCGTAAGAATAGAATTCATAGTAAGATTCTCTTCCCTGCTTCCGAGGCAGATGATCAGACCTGGATTAACAAAAGAGCATGTGTTAATTTGGGCACAAAGTAGTTTTTGTGTTCTGCCATAGACGTCACATGGTTTTCTGAAGACAGAAATGCAGATTATGAAAGGTAGATTTCTAAGATATTGGTCGTTCCTTCTACTGTAAAACTATCAACTGGAACTCTGAGTCTCATGGCCCTTTAGCTGGACGTGGGGACCGTCCTAGCCTGTGCCTGTAGTTCCAGTCCCAGTGTCCTACAGTGTCACAGGCCTGATCTCTTTCTTCCTCCAGAGAGAGCTGGCAGCGGCATTCTGGCAGAAGGAGACAGTGAGCCTGACAGGGTGCTGGTGTCCCATGTCACCCTCTTCGTTGAGCCACCAATGCTCTTTTTCCACGTGGGCATCAGCTTCTTCTTTACTAGTGCAAGAAGGTGGTTTTTAAGTTTGGGGCAATAATGTGGTTCCTAGCAGAGGAAGTGAGCCGTGATGCTGCAGGGATTTCTGGGGGATGCAGGCCCCAGCTCCTCCCTAGGTTGAGCTGGTTGTTACAGGAAAGGGGAACTCACGTGTCCCTGTACCCGGACAGTGATTGAAGCTCTTTAGGTGAGCTGTCCTGTCAGCACCAAAACTTGCACCCACGAGTTTGCGGTATCATAAAGCATCAGATATGATAGCAGGTCTGCTGTTTCCAGTGTTCCCCCTCTGGAGAATAGAAGGTTTTTAAAAAAAATTTTATTGCTCTGGCTGGTGTGGTTCAGGGGATTGAGCGTCGGCCTGCAAACCAAAGAGTCGCCAGTTTGATTCCCAGGCAGGGCACATGCCTGGGTTGTGGGCCAGATGCCCAGTAGGGGGCTCACAGGAGGCAACCACACATTGATGTTTCCCTCCCTCTCTTTCTCCTTCCCTCCCCCTCTGTCTAAAAACAGATAAATAAAATCAAAATTTTTTTATTGAATTTATTGGGGTAACATTGGTTCATCAAATTATATAGGTTTCAGGTGTACAGTTCTATGATACATCATCTGTATATTGTATTGTGTGTTCACCACCCCAAGTCAAGTCTCCTTCCCTCACCATTGGGGAGAGAAGCTTTTGAACATCCTCCCCTTGTATGAAATGCAAGACTGTCAGTCTAATCACCTACAGCCACTAGGCCAAACTGGTAAATGGTCCACACATTGCCTCCACCCACCTTTTATAACCTGGTTCAGGACATGTTATTATCACAACTACCTCAAAGTCAATTATTGGTAAGCCAGAACCCCCCCAAAAAATCTAATTTGATCTGAAAGTCTTTTACCTAGCTAAACATAAAAGAAAATCGTAAACGTAAATGCTAAAAGTCCCTGGATCCAGACATAATTTGTAGCATTTTTATTGGTGTTTTTTCCATTCATTTGGGAAATGAAAAAAGGTAGAGGAAAACTGGAAGCTACACTATTTTCAGTCACACAATTCATGTAGGTTTCGGATTTCTGATCTGAGTGCTACATGTGTATTTTGCATGGATTTGTGCCTGGGAGGTGTTTGTGTTGGGTTGTAGCAAGTGACTTCTTGGTTAACCTGTCCAGTGAAATGATCATCTGCCAGTGCCTCGTGTGTGTCTCACGGTATCTTTAACTGCTGAGCTTCTGCTATTGCTTATACACATGGTGAAACAAAGATTCATGAGCTATACATACATTTCCTAGAATGGGTAATGCGTACAATTCTAAATGGATCGCTGTTTCTAAGTGTGAATCTGTAACCCCCAAGCTTGAAGGTTTTGCATGTCTTGTGTTGCTAATCATTTTACATTTCTCTCAGCTGTGCTCTTATTTTCTTTCCTCCTTTCCTGTTGCAATGAACAAACAAAACCCTGCTTCTTGATCGCTATGTAGTCTACGCCATGGAAATCAATCGTAAGTTTATGCAGAACTGATGACAGTAGCCCGTGAAATGTGTGTATGAATTAGGCTCTTCCGTAGCTAATTCCTGATAGTCTTACCCTCGGTGCAAATACTTCTCTGGTTTTCTCATGTGAATACTTTTTTATTAAAAAATTTTTTAAGTGAATTAGCCTAGCTTATTCTTACTTTTTAAAAAGATTTTATATATTGCCCTGGCTGGTGTGGCTCAGTAGATTGAGCATTGGCCTGAAAACCAGAAGATTGCCTGTTTGATTCCTAGTCAGGGCACACGCCTCGGTTGCAGGCCAGGTCTCCAGTAGGGGGCATGCGAGAGGCAACTGATAGATGTCTCTCTCACACATCTTTAAGATTTTATTTATTTTCAGAAAGCAGGGAAAGGAGGGGAAAAGAGAGGGAGAGAAACTTCGATGCGAGAAACATTAGTTGGCTGTCTCTCGAACCGCCCCCCCAACCAGGGACCAGACCACAACCCAGAAATGTGCCCTGACCGGGAATCGAACCCACACCTTTCAGCCATAGGCTAGTGTTCAATCCACTGAGCCACCCCAGCCAGGGCTCGTGTCAATATTTTTTAAAACTGCAAAGAAGTAAGAAGTACATAGACTATAAATTGATGAAGATCGCTTCACTCATCACTGTTGGGATCTTCCTGTCTTTTCTCCAGGAGATAAGGTTCCATTTGATTCAAGTAGTATTTCACATGAGCAGAGACAGAAAAGATTGTTTTTCAAACATGGCACCAGAACAGCGGACTGAGGGATATAGGGGTAGAGGGAGCCTTACCTCCTACCCCAGAACAAAATTATTTCCCAAGTTAATCACGAGTGAAACCAAGGAGACAACATAAGCTGACATTAAATAATGAGAAAACACAATACCTTTCTCATGGGTAATAGTAAAGAAGAAAACCATACAGATAGATTTAGCTGCTTAAAAATGAACAACTTCTCTATGTGAGAAATACAGTCAAGAAAGGGGAAAATGTTTACAAACACGGCAAATTAAGAAGGACTATATCTCAGTTCAGTAAGGAGTTCCTTATCTTCATATGAATTAATAGTTTTCACAGAAGAAAAATCACAGCAGAAAAGAAATAGGTCATCTCATAGCCTATGGAAGAAGAATAATGCATATTATTCTTTTCATTCCATGGAAAAAGCAAGCGCAGAAAGAGAAAGTTGTTGTTGTTGTTGTTGTTGTTGTTGTTTTAGCTCCCTGTGGGGATAACCAGTATGACGAGGAAGGCAGGAGGCTCCCTCCCTGCATCCCGGGCGCCTGGCTGACCCCCGCCATTATGGCGTGCTACCTGCTAGTGGCCAACATCCTGCTGGTAAACCTGCTCATCGCGGTCTTCAAGTACGTGTCGTGGCCGATGGCCATGCCCTTATTATCGATGGCTTTATAGATCCTCAGTTTCATCCTAACACCTCCAGGCTGCCATGCATGCACACAGAATTTCACCAGGGCTTGGAAAAGGGTCGAATTTCTGCAGTCTTTTTTTTGTTCCACCTTAACAGCCTTAATGCATTCATAAATCAAGGGTTGATTTGAAACGCACTGAAATTTCATCTTGGTTAGTATTGTAACACTCGAGATGTTTCAATCTCAAGAAAATATTTTCTTAGATGAAAGTCCCCTGAGGGAGAGAAGGTTTGATTCAGTTGTGCCTTTCATTCATTATCAGAGGCACGGAAAACAAGGTTAACTTCATAAGCTGTGACAATTGCTGTAACATTACATAAAATGTTTCCTTTATCATTGATAGAAGAGTAAATAAAATGATCTAGGAAAAAAATGGCTCAAATTGAAAATCAGGTTTCTTATAGAACTTGACCATTTTGGCATGATGTACTGAGTATGTGATTATGCTTAATAAATGTTGGAAAAGAACTATTGTAGCTTCTAAGATGAAAAATATGGAGGGAAAAATCCATGACAGAAATATAGAATCTTAGCGCCGACCAGGGCATTGGAGAGAATGCAATTCAGGCACCAGGATTGGTGAGAAAGTACAGGTCATGAGAGATTAACCGGCTTCTCTGAGGCCCCCATGTTGGTAGAAAACAAACTAGATCATGATTCCAATTCCAAACAATTGTGCTTTTATTTCATCCCACTGGAAACAAAAGGACAAAGATGGTACCTACCCAACATCCAAAATAACATATCTTTGATCAAATAAGTTCAGTAAGTAAGCCATTCAGTCACTGAAAATAAAGTAGTCTGAGATGGAAGTTTAACTATTTCAAAATGTTTACTTGAAGCCCTGGCTGGCATAGCTCAGTAGATTGAGTGCAGGCTGCGAACCAAAGCATCGCAGGTTCAATTCCCAGTCAGGGCACATGCCTGGGTTACAGGCCATGGCCCCCAGCAACCACACATTGATGTTTCTCTTTCTCTCTCTTTCTCCCTCCCTTCCCTCTCTAAAAAAATAAATAAATAAATAACATCTTAAAAAAATGCTTAGTTGAATGGCTCGTACCTTTAAATATATGGAATAAAAATTTTTGAGCATGTGAGTTTGTAGATGGCAGTGTGATTTTTCAAGAAAGCAGTAGGAGTGATTTCAATATCCTTTTTATGTTGTAGTTTTTTAAAAAGATTTTATTTATTTTTAGAGAGAGGAGAAGAAAAGAAGAAAGAGAGGGAAAGAAATATCACTGTGTGGTTGCCTCTCACACCCCACCAACTGGGGACCTGGCTTGCAAACCAGGCATGTGCCCTGACTGGGAATCGAACTGACGACCCTTTGGTTTGCAGGCTGGCACTCAATCCACTGAGCCACACCAGCCAGGGATTTGATATTCTCAATTAGTATTTATATGAATAAAATGCCTTTGAGTGTAGATGATCTTCACGTTGATCGATAGACCAAAAGACAGGGTTATCTGGGAATTAGAACTAGGGGGCCCTCTAAGGCCATTTCACTGTGTCTTGTCATTTCAATGTGACTCCGATTGCTGTGGAAAATCACATAAAAACTAACGTGACAAACTAAAAATGTGGTTTTTTTAAAGCAACACCTTCTTTGAAGTGAAGTCCATATCCAATCAAGTGTGGAAGTTCCAGCGGTATCAGCTGATCATGACATTTCACGACCGGCCAGTCCTGCCTCCACCGATGATCATTTTAAGTCACATCTACATAATCGTCATGCGTCTGAGTGGTCGCTGCAGGAAGAAGAAAGAAGGGGACCAAGAGGAGCAGGACCGTGGACTGAGTACGTGCGCCACTCTCATTTTTGTCCAGGGCTAAGTTCACAAGGGCTTTTCGGAGAGGACACCCTCATGGAAAACTCATTAAACCCCTTAAATGTGTGAGAACACGACACTCTCACCTAACTGCTATTCTTTGTACAGCGCTTGTTACTTCGTGATGATTTTTATTCTAGTTTCATTCATGTATCGGTAATTATGCAAAGCCTGCTCAAAACAAGAGAAGTTGAGTTCTTGAAAGTAACTCCTCTGTGGTTGAATCAGTGTTCCTTTCAAAATGTTTCTATGGGCTGCACTTAAAGATCATGGGAAAAACATACAGTACCCTTGACTCTACCCACGTGCAAAAGGTTTCCCAGAAAATCATGCTTAGGTTCACTTTCCGAACAGCTGCAATTGTGTGTGTGTGTGTGTGTGTGTGTGTGTGTGTGTGTGTGTGTTAGAAAGTGAGCCATTGTGCTCCACAGGGAAGATGACCGTTGCTGATTGCCAGCTCTTCTGATATCACGTGCAATCGAGAGAGTCGGGAAAACTGCGTGCAGCCAGGTTGGGCTGTGAAATTCACAATGACGTGCAGAGATTAAGTCTTCACGGCTATCGCGAGATCTCACTCTGCAAACCCTGTCCTCGCAGAGCTGTTTCTCAGCGAGGAGGAGCTGAAGAGGTTGCACGAGTTCGAGGAGCAGTGTGTGCAGGAGCACTTCCAGGAGAAGGAGGATGAGCAGCAGTCGTCCAGCGACGAGCGCATCCGTGTCACCTGCGAGAGGTGCGCCCCGCGTGTCGCCCACTCAGGGCCTCGGGTTGGCGGGCGCCTCCGCCCCACTCTGGGAGGATGGGGTGCCAAAGTCCATTTAAACATGCATTCCCAGTCGTTTGGTTTATTCAGACTTTCTGGGTTTTTTTCTACGTGTTTCCTAGGGGATGGTTGTGTGTTGTATATAGAAGTGAAGGATGAATTTATGAGTAATAGTCCAGGCCTGGCCAAACCAAAAAAGCCCTGACTTTCTTGGCGCCCCCTGCAGGAGGGCCTTTTGCTATGAGACCTAAGATCTATGGCCAGAACAGTCAGCCGCAGGGCTGGGTGGCTTCTCCAGAAGCCACCTTTCTCCTCGCTCCAGCCATGTGGTTGTCCTGACCAAGGGTAGTGCCCCCTTAAGAGCTGACCTCCCCTGCCTTGTGGTCTTCCTGCCCGCCCCCCAACACTTTGTCCACCCTCCTGGAGCAGAGGGGAAGGCTCCCCTCCTCTGTGCTCCCCTGAGACCAGGAACTGCAGGAGGGGCACAAGTGTCTGTCCCCCAAAGAGGGTGGAAACCTCTAAACAAGAGTCGGGTCTGTGTTTCAGACCCTTTTACATCCGGGATCTCAGCAGAATCACCAGCATCCGGATGGGGATGCTTAACAAATGCAGAATGAATGCATGCATGGGTGTGTGAATCAATGAATGGGCAAATAAAGGCAGGGCAGGAGGGACAGGAGACACAGGAGGCGGGGCGTTTTCCCCAACTTAATTGTGTAGTGCTTGTGGCGACTGGCGAATAGCGACCAGCAAAGAGTAGCAGACAGGAACAAGAAACCTGCACGATGTACATTTGTTTTTTAATCACCTAATTTTTGAGACTCTTTATCACTTGAAAACAATTTAACCTTGGTAAAGATCACGACCATTGAATCAAAAAGGAAATTGTTCCCGAGAGTTTAACCAACAATGTGCGTAGAAGGAGCGTAGAGGAGATACGCCTAAGGAGACGCTCTAGTCATCTTTACGTCCTCGGGCACTCAGAGTTCAAGTTTCCTCTTACAGACACCCATGTTTACCGGTAAGCAGCAAAACCTGGTAGCACTTCGAAAGAATATTTCAGCGCAGTTCCCAGTCAAGGGCCCCCAAGTCACAGCAGCGCTCATGACACACTTCGAAGCCTCCCTGGTGCGTGTTCAGGACAGTGATTCTTCCTCAGTCCTCAGTCCTGGCAGCTGCTGGTCTCTGGCCTCTCTCACCTCCTAGAACTAGTCACCTTGTAATCCAACCCGCCAAACGCCAGGGTTACCTGCCCCCACTTTCGGCCTTAATAAGGTACATGCTCCATAAAATGTTCACAGTGGTGACTGAGCTTTTAAAATATACCCACTATGCCCGGGCTGGTGTGGCTCAGTGAATTGAGCACCAGCCCGTGAACCAAAGGGTCACTGGTTCAATTCCCAGTCAGGGCACATGCCTGAGTTGTGGGCCAGGTCCCCAGTAGGGGGGGTGTGAGTAGCAACAGCACACTGATGCTTCTCTCCCTCGCTTTCTCCTTCCCTCCCCATCTCTCTAAAAATAAATAAATAAAATCTTTAAAAAAGATCTACCAATTATTTCTCCATAGGAAGATGACGTATGCCCATCTTGACTATCGGAAATTTCCACTTTGCAATTAGACATTAACTTGGATTTAGTCACAGCCAGTCGTGTACCATGGAAATTGTGTTTTGTTTCACTCCGCCGCTTCCCCTTCTCCCTCCCCCAAGAATTGTTTGAATTTTTGCCATTCTTGGACTGGGGCTCCAGGAATGCGGTTATCAGGCTGGCTACCACATTGCATTTCCCTCCAGGGGCTCTGTGCAATTGGAATCAACGTGCCCAGCAGTAAAAACAGGCTCCTTCCCGCTTCCCTTGGCCGACGCTGCTGCCACCAGGGATGGGAACGCCTTCCCGCCCCTCCTGTTCCCTTGCTCTGTGCTGAGTCACAGGTGAATACCAGCGACCAAAGAAGGTGGGGCCTGGGAAAAGCTAAACCGGCCGAGGAGCCAAGGAAACAAACTTAATCATTTTTCCCTAACTTTTGGTACCCGGGATGACATCTAAAATGGAACTTTTTTGAGTAGTCACAGGTTTCTGCCATTTCTCTCACTTTATATACTTGACGGTTTTCTTTTCTGAGTCACCATGTGCTAATTTTCCTGTTCTTCTTAGCTGTGTCATCTCCGGCACCATGGGGATCTCAGGGTCTGGTTAGGGGTGAGCGTCTGGGAAAGACGCTGCTGGCGTCAGGCCCGTCCTGGCCTCCCAGTTGTCTGGGTGCCTTTCCAAACCAGGACAAGGGATTTGCATGACTCCGTCTTGCAAATGTGTTCACACAAGAAATTACACACTTGTCATACTCCCCCGTGCAGGGTGCTCCTCCGTGCAAGATGCTCCTCGGTACAAGATTCTCCTCAGGGCAGGCTGCTCCTCAGTGCACAGTGGTCTCCGTGTAGGATACTCCTCCATGCAGGCTGCTCCTCCATGCAAGATACTCCTCAAGGCAGGCTGCTCCTCATTGCGTGGTAGTCTCTATGCAGGGTGCTCCTCTGTGCAGGCTGCTCCTCCTTGCAAGATGCTCCTCAGGGCAGGCTGCTCCTCAGTGCACGGTGGTCTCCATGTAGGGTGCTCCATGACTGGGCAGGAACCAAATTCACAGCTTTTCCCCAATGCTTACAGAGTTATGTATAACATTTTAACAATTGAACCATTTCTTTTTATCACATGATGTCGACCCTTTGTCAGGTCCAACACATAGCCCTTCAACAGCAAATTTCCAACATGACTCAGGTTTTCGTTGACCCCACGCCGGGTTGCAGCAGCATGCTCAACCCAAAGCGCCACCCAGTGTGCCACCTAGTGCGCTCGGGCACTGCGGTCATGAATCCCTGCCAGACGTGGGCTTGCTCCTGTGCTCTGGGCCCTGCCAGCGGCACCGCCAGCCATCTCAGTCAGCAAATCATTGTGACACCCCCCTCTTCTTCACTGACAGTCAAAGTTTGTTTACTTCCCCACCCCCACGGTAGTACAAGCTACCACCGCTTTTCACGCGGGTCCCTGAAGCTGCCCCCTGTCTGAGCTCCCCAGGTTCTTTTCTGCTGTTTCCATCCATTCCGCACTCAGTGGACTCTGCCCAGAACTCCGGTCTGGCTGGCGTGTCTTCATTGCCTCAGGGGCACGGCTCCCTCCCTGCCACAGGGACTTTCCTCAGCCTTTGGATCTCTGTTCAAATGCCAGTTCCTTATGGAAGACTGACCCCCTCACACCTGAGACCAATCTGGGAAGCCTTGCACACCTCCACATAGTAGGACCTCTTTTTTTTTCAACAATTGATGACTCAAAAGTTTCTCCCCCTGATTTGAACTCGAATTTCTATTTGGTTCCCTCCTGGAGTACCAAACAGGATGTCCCTCTGGGTTCCAAGCTTTGGTTTTGCTCTTAGGAACAAGGAGCAGTTTCAATATGCAAATGAGTCTGCTACCCGTAATTGTCAGGAAGAACCCTTACTGTCAGCAACACTGAAACAATTGTTCTTGTTGTCAGGTGTTGTCTGTTTGGAAGAGAGAGCATCAGATAACCAAGAGGGCTGGTCAGAGGAGAACATTTTACAAATTCCTTCTGCCCGCACACTCCACACTCGAGGTCATGTTCTGGCCTCATCGGACCGGTTAATAAATCAGGAATGTGGATCCTTATCAATGAGCGCTTGAAGGCCATTTCTGTGACTCTCTCTCAAATCCACTGTTAAGCTCATCATTGTGTTTTTGCTTTGTTTTGTAAGAGGCTGGACACCCCCTGTTAGGGGTTCCCAGGTTCAAGAGCAATTGAGTCGGAAAGAATCTTTTCCGACATCAATTTGTCAGAGCTTCAACTTCCTGTCCTCAGACAATGAAACCCAGGGAGTTTTCCTTTTTTTCTTGGCTTGAAAGAAGCTTAGCCCCAAACTCAAAATGTAACGATAACGAGTATAGTATTGTAGGTCTGGGGAGTGTGTGGAGTACAGTGCCTCCTTATGTCTTCCCTCTTTTACTCTTTCATATCTTCTGTTCCACTTACAAAAATGTCGCTTTATGTGTGTGATGTTTCAAAGTATGCAGGCTACATTTGAAATGCATTTGGTCCTGAACAGAAGGCGGTACAGGTCTTAGAGTAGCCAGCCCTATAACGGCAGGTTCCAATTCCCCCCAAACCTTTTGGGTTGGGTGGCTTCTTGTCAGATCTGTGGATCTGGGTTAAGGTCTTGGGAAGTCTGCTCTCAGCTTGGTGGCCTTGAGACCTTATCGGACAGTCCCTTCCCCAGTGACCAGGAAGGGAAGATGCTGGTAACTGAGACTCTTACGAAAAAGATGACAAGGAAACAAATGAGGTGGCAACCAGGAGGGGGCCTGAAAGAGACATCAGTCTTAGAAAGGAGATGGGTGATTCCTTAGATGTAGAGAAGGTGGTAGAAAGATGCAGGGATGGGGGAAACATTTGGGAAGATCCTATCTGAACATCTTGATTTTATTTTATTTTTTAGAGAGGGAGAAGAGGGAGAAAAAGAGAGGGAAAGAAACATCGATGTGCGAGAGAAACATTGATTGGCTGCCTCTTGCAGGCCCCCAACTGGGGACCTGGCCCACAACCCAGGCATGTGCCCGGATTGGGAATCGAACTGGCGACCTTTCAGTTCATAGGCCAGTGCTCAACCCACTGAGCCACACCAGCCAGGGCGGAATGTTTTCATCTTGTAAATTAACAGGGGTCAGGGTTGCCTGGATGATGGAGGATGGGTGGGATTCAATGGGGAACTTTTCATGTGCTTAGGACTTAGGAACTCTGGTTCCTTTCCTGACTTGGAGAGGCAATTTAGGGATAGATGCAGATATCAGACACAGAGTTTTAAAAAATACCAGCTTTATGATTAGTAATAAATGTTGTGCTAGAGGAAGTGGTGCCGTTCTTGCCAAACACACACCCTAGAATTAGACGTACCCACTCAGTGACCG